GCGTTGGCAGATGTAAATGTTACTGGAGATGTTGGTCCCGCCAGCTGTGGGTGTTCGGTATTGCTCTCCATAACCCGAACCCTGCAGTGAGTTTTCCTAGAGACGGAAGGGGAGAAAATATCGTTCTGTGACTATGGAAGACCAAAAATGTGGACAACACACCATTGTTTGGGTCTTTTAATTGTAAATATGATTCAACTAGCTTAACCTAGATTTCGATATCCTCCGAATGTACATTTGGTGGAAAATATACATTTATCCCGAGACAAGGACGAATGTTTATATATAATTAAAAAAATGTAACAGCACTAGTATCCATTTTGTCTTTTGTCTTCTACCCGTCAGAACTAGATTAACAACTAGTCTCTGATATGAACATATTTTACAGAAAAAAAGTTGAAAAAGTTGAAGTAGTAAAAAAATAATATTATATAAGGAAAAGGAGCCCTGAGACTTTCTCCTGAAGCTGTGAAAATCTAGACTTGCCACATTTTGTAGACTTGCGTGGGCTTGGATATATTTGCTACAGGGTCTGTATGACAGACGACGTCCCAACAACGGACGGAAGTCTTACCACCATGGAAATTCAAGTGTGATTTCCTCATATACAAATATGTTTGGACATATTTTATACATGTCAGCTGCATTGATACAATACCATACATCGAGTATTTGGTGTTTTTTCTAAAATAATTGATAAACAAATGATAAATAAACAACTGCATTTCAGTGATGATTCACATATAATCATGACTGTAACAAAACATCCTCATACATGTCGATGGAAAACAATCATCACTGAAAGCTATGATATGAAGAATAACCTGTTTACTGTAATTTACTGTAAATTATTTTTAGCAAAGATCATGTGAATGCTCGAGCTGTTTTTATAATGGTAGCTACGCCCCTGTTTGCATGTGTTGTTGACGCGGCATGGACTGCTTGTAACATCACTATTTGATTATGATTCACAAACACATGCCCACGATATGGTCGGAATCGTGCCACGGATTAGCAGATACTCATCATGAAAACAGGTTTTTATGTAGGTGACTTGAAACTCGCTTTTACAAAGGCCTATAGGTTCGATCACAATACATTTCGGTTTACAGCTTCTCTTTTCTTAACATGCTCACGTCAAAACTGATTTAAATTCTAATCACACATTAAAGAATAGCACAATAAATAGTATGCCAAATTATCGTTACCATGACAACCCTGTGATATTTCACCTTATGTAAGAGAGTAATGCAGATGATACTGTCGGCTGTAAATTTTGATAAGTTGCTTCATCGCTATCAATAAACACTGGGTATCTATATATTAACACGGAAAAAATGGACAAAGGTTTACCAATATTTCATACCGATATGTGTTATTGAAAAGTGGGATTATTACAGACTAAATGACCACGTTCCTCAATCTTAAGCCTGTCAAGGGTCACATTGATAACGAGCATCGGACATAATCCGGGACCAGTATCTCTAAAGCTTATAGAACCACGGTGCATTACGTTTATCAGTCTTTATGGCTGTTTGCATTCCACGTTGGTCAAATCACGTGCGTGCCACATATACCTTCGTGGCATACTCGCGACTGGCCATCGATGCTTCGGTCCAACTAAATGACATAATCTCACGTTCACAATAACAACGTCATCGTAAGTTTTACCTGTAAACGATTATTTGCAATAGCTAGAATAGATATATATTACGGATGACAGTCACAAATCAGGGGGTGACTGTCTAGTAAATTCACTCAGGTAACAAACTTTACTTTCTTCTACTTTGACATACCCTTGCCTATGTTAACTTTAATCTATTGTAAATACCTTAACTATAAGTTACCACCTTCGGCAGTACCTTCAGGTCTATGTGGCGTCGTTTAATATATCTCACAATTACTGTGTATTACTGTTTAGGATTGTTTATTTGATAATGATTAACTCTACGTTGTTGTGTGGCTATTGTAGATTGTATAGAGTGTTTTGGGTATCCTAACTATTGCGTGTAAACACGATGTTGTTTAGTGACTGTTGCAGAATGTGCATTGTATGAACGCCCACTGGGGTGGTGTCTGGATTGTATAGAGTGTGTATCCTAACTAGTACATTGCGTTATGAGCAATATGCTGTTTTGTGCGTTATGAACGCCCACTGTGTTGGTGTGTAGAGTATTGAACAATCACATTACGTTGTATACTTTTGAATGTGTATCGTGATTAATGTGATGTGTAACGAATCCAAGTGTGATGTTTATGTACTTTGATAGATGATTACAGTGTTAACATGTTCTAATAATTGTTTATAAAACATACCATTATTGATTGATTATGTGAAATCATCCTGTGACTGCTGTGTAATATACTCCTTGTTTATTTTACTCAGGTGTTGTGTTGTGTGTGGGTTGGTATAGTCAGACCTCTTGCCAAGCGAGCTAATTCCCCAACTCGCGTTTTAACATATACAATTATATGTGTGATCAAAGGCCATATGATAGATTATGTGTATGTGGTCTCTGGTGTAATGGAGGAGAACTTGCGTCGCTAGTTTTCTCGATAATCTGAACACATGTATTTAGCGTGTAACCGGCAGATACTTTAGAATAAAGTGTTTGCCCCACCTGTAACAACGATGTCCCGTGTCTATAAAAGGGATATAATGTGGAGATGAATGACATGTACTTTTATCTTGGCCCGTTTATGATGATACATACTGCGATCTTTCACAATAATCCCTCTGGCTATCAGATTGAAGGTACGTTTTAAACATAACCGGTATTTCTATTATTGTATTTATAAAGTTCTTCGAACGTTCTCCATATACGTCCGTCATATACATCGCGCACTACCCTTTTCTCTTTTGATCTTCTCAAACGACTGTTACAAGTTCGAAGAATCTTGGTCAAAGTAGAAAAGTCTTAAGACTATTGCCTACAATTCTGTAACTTACACATTGTACCCTAAATGGGTAGAGCTTTCGTTCGGGGGAATATCAGAAGGACAACGATACAGTTATTTCCAATGTTGCAGAAATATCTCCACTTACTTAGGAAAACACTGAGATATTGTATTCACGTCGGAATGATATTTTCAGCCCCTGTCAGATCAGAACCTGAACATGCGATGTCCGCGTCTATGGACCCGTGAAGGTCCGGGGTAGAATAGCCCTTCAGCAACCCATGCTTGCTATAAAAGGCGACGATGCTTGTCGTAAAAGGCGACTAACGGGATCGGGTGGTCAGGCTCGCTGACTTGGTTGATATATGTCATCGGTTCCCAATTGCGCAGATCGATGCTCATGATGTTGATCACTGGATTGTCTGGTCCAGACTCGATTATTTACAGACCGCCGCCATATAGCTGGAATATTGCTGAGTGCCGCGTAAAACTCAACTCACTCACTCACTCCGCGTCTGTGTCAGACTAAAGGCCTATAAGATGTTTAGCAACACTGGGGCGTAATAGCCATAGATCTTCTCCAAACAAGGGAGTATACATCTTGTGAGAATGACTTCTTCGACAGGGAAATTTACAGCAATGCGACATCACAATTAATTACGTGATATTTACTCGCAATCTGAGTTATGGATCGTCAATTTAAACAGGACAATATAGACGAATTTCACAAAAGGCACGGAGATCCAACATGATATACTCAGAGAACGCACCCGCCTGTGCTATCCGGTCATAATCGCTACTCGATAAAAACAATTTTTCATGTCATGTCTCACAGAATATATAATTTCATATGGCATTGTTTCTTATTGTATACTTTTGCGTTAGTGAAACAAACTTTAAAGTTTATGTATGGCGTTTATTACAGCAAGTGCAATAATATTCCAAGTATGTACTGCCACAATTATTGTACAGTAGTGATGCGCGAGCTGAACAGACTTAAGAAATTACGAGTTGGTTCGTGTAGCATATTTGACTGTGCTCCAAGAGAGACAAAGTGCTATTCTTTTGGGGCAGCTAGGGACACTTGCGAGGACAAAGGGCCAACGCATCGCCCTTTGTTCACCACTGAACCTTTCAATCCCTCGAAACATGCACCTCACAACATTTGCCAACACCACAAGGCGTAACTGATACTGGTAGCAAGAGCGAGTGCGGCTTAATAAGGCGTGTTAGCTTGCGTAATACCGCTTTCTTTGTCAGGCTCTTTGGTGATAAGAATATTGAGGTCATGTGAACGTTGATTTCAAACGTACTAAAATATGTGAAAGTGAAATTACATGAGCCAAGTAATTCACATGATGGAAACATATGATCATCTTGCTTGAATACAGGTAACATGATGGTGTATGAACCGTTCATATACATACCCCTGAAATCCGGTATGATACATAAACATCCAAGGTGTGTAAACATTTGCAAATTTGAAAATTTACTTGTGTTTCCCCACCTAAGTAAATTCACATGTTTCCAACCCGAGTAAACTTAGAACGAAATCGGAAATTTCAGCACCAACTGAAATTCAAAGGAATGCATTGGAAATACTGTATGATCATGTATTTACCGGGGTATCTGTTTTGCAATTCATATTTGGAAATCCCCGACAATCCGGTCAGGGCATACATGAACGAGGTGCTTGTGCATACGAAAATGTACGATGAGCATATGTTTCAAAGGTACAGCTTCATATGAAATATATGCCCGAAGTTAGGAAATATCTGAAAACATACGTAAACCCGGTCATGGCATGTATTTCCTACTGTATTTACGTATATTTCAATGGTTTACTATCCGGTTTTTGGTGCTGTGGTATTTCTTCATTGCATTTGAAAAACATTAAAACGATGTCTTTAACATCAACTCGCAGAAACCGATTTGCATAGGTGAGTTTTTTAAACCCTGAATCACTCAATCGTGGATTAAATCAGGTATTCATGGTAATTATGGGTCTCGCTTTGCTCATACCCTGATCATGGTTCTAAGACTGGCATTACTTGGCTTGCCTCACACGATCAGACAACGCGGTGCTACTGAAACGCTGTTACCATAAGGACACTCCCCCACTGCGTCTCGGAGAACCTCGCGACTGTCTTGTAGATGTACAGACCAATCAACGTGATGGCAGGCACGATTGTTACAGGTCCAATGAAGCGGAGCAGCACGCCCACCAAACCAGTTGCACCAATCATCATGTGGATATACCCCACTGCCATGCGACTGCCCATTATCTATAGTGACAAGCAAAACGTAAAATAAGTCAAACATTTTGTTTCGTTAATTAAAGTAGCACTACAAGACTGTGGACTATTTAAGAGTTTAATTCTCCTGCGATTCGTACTGGCACAGAGTTGCGTCCCCTGGACACAGTTCGATGTGATTATGTTTCTAGTCTTGGTCCAATACACAGAAGTGACCGTGGATTTTACCAAAGTGAGACCTTCAGGCCTTTAGAACACGCTCCCACGTTCTGTTAAAAATCCATTAAACGAATCCCCTGAAGAACTGGAGAAAGATGAATTTATTAGATAAGAGAAGTGTGAAATACCATATTTGTTTGCCCGTGTAATGTGTCCTGTCTTGTCGTGTTTACAGAACAGTGCGAGAACTGGAGAAATGAGTGTACTTGAAACTTACAGTCCCAAGTTTGCCGTGGACTATGTCCAGAGGAACTGGAAACTGTCCCCGGGTGTCCACGGTCACATTCAGGGTGGAATTACCGTAGTATTCAGCTGAAAGAACAACCCAATCAAGGCTAATAATGAACTATGGTTGTGTGCAGTCACAAGAAAGACATTCACATTTAACCATGGGGTATTGATTTGTTTTCGATATAACTTATCTTAATGTTGTGGAAATGTAGTGCTGGCGGGTTTCAATCTACAGACAAGTAGAGCACTGATATTACAGAGGATTATTATATTATTCAGTGATGGGAGTGGGAACCAACAACATGCATTTTCAGGACGTTCAGCGAACTAATTATTCTTTTCGTTAAATATATTATTATGTTAACATAATTATTTTTCTTTACTAATCTGTTGCTTGATACGTTTGATCAAACGGCCCTCCCCAAATGTGAAATAATTGGCCAATCAGAACAGTTGTATGGTTATGCTTGAATAATCATTAGTGTTTATTTCTACCAAATTCTTCCTGTGTTGGACACCTCCATTCCTGCATCTCAGACAGAGCCAGAGGAGGGATGATGTAGATGTTGGTTGGGCCTTGGAATATCGGCAACCTACATCGAAAACATACATATACGTTACGCGAACTTAAAGATATTACACTCATCTCGTGTTGTCGCTTTCTCGCCTCGTGTTATTGCTTTTTCGTCTCATGTTATCGCTTTCTCGTCTCGTTTCATCGCTTTCTCGTCTTGTGTTATCACTTGAAATCTCGTCTCGTGTAATCGCTTTTTCATCTCGTGTTGTCGCTTTCTCGTCTTGTGTTATTGCTTTCTCATCTCGCATTATCGCTTTCTCGTTTCTCGTTATCGCGTGTTTGCTTTCTCGTCTCGCGTTATCGCTTTCTCGATTTCCTGCGGCCGTATTTTAAGGTGGGAAAGGGATGGCCCTGCTCAGTCACCATATATAGTCCATTGGCTGACTCGGGTCCACATGCAGCCCCCCAACAGGTCTACTTCTTGACTATGTTCTAGTAGCCATGGGTCGCTCCTTCAGTAATGCGTCATCAAGTCCTGTGCAAGTCATCTTCTTTCCACACATCTTGAGATATGCACATTTTAAGTGGAAAGTCCCAATCATGATTATGTGGTGTGCACATTGGTTCTTGTTCCCTTTTCTGCTTGGCTGAGACACTCCTTCACTGCTTTGTAGACTGTGATCGGATGCGGTATGATAGGGTAACATTCGACAGTTGTGAGTTTTGTCGGTTTCTGCCCTGTCAATGACACAAAGCCACCCGATCTTGGAACATTCTGACTGGTCTTTGCAGCATGCAGACGAATCAGAGGCCAAAGCATATTCTTCATGACGATCTTCTCATATGCTTCTTTCCCTCCATCTACTGACCTATTGACAACTTTATACCCAGGGCTTCTTCTTTTCGCAATGTAGCACTCTGGTTAGTCGACAGCTTCTGATTGTTTTAGCGTCCGTTCTCTTATTCTTGGAATAGAAAACTCTACCTCTCTGTCAAATCTTTTTGACATAACACATGAATCGGGTAAATTATCAGGTGTTGGTATGGAGGCAAGCACACATTCCAGATCCGGTCTCACCTGATCCCATGGATGGTCACGGATCGACATTCGGGAATGGTGCCATGCAGCCAAAGTGGACTGATGGAGAAATCCTTCCTTAACAGTTGGTGGACATTTTAGAAGATACTGTCGCTGAATTAGATGGAAGTGATGATGATGATGATGATGATGATGATGATGATGATGAAGAAGATGATAATGATGATGGAGAGGAGGATGACAACTCTTCAGATGAATAATACGTGTCTAGTGAGGAGAGTGACAGCATGTGGACCCCCCGTCAGCCAGTGGACTAATAAGAGCCTATTTCTGGTGTACCCCGTAATATTGCTGGAATGTTGCCCATACACGCATTAAACCCCATTCACTCTACCGCGTGCGAATTACTTCTTGGTTGAGGTGTACTGAGGGAAAATGGTGTATGATTGTTTGTCACATCAGTTCTCTATAATGTTTGCCAAATGAAATATATATGCCCGACGTTTAGCTGTAGTGTCATATTATGCCTTGTCAATGAGTGCATTTGTGAAATAATCCACGATAGCTTATTGGATTAAATATATCATGTGTCCAATGTTTTGTTTCTCCTATGACCTAAAACAAAGTGATGTAAATGCAAAAACATCCATTAGAACAAGTGTTGATAACTGTAATTTTGAAATATCTGTGCATGATAACTATTGTGAAACAGGGAGTTACACAACATGGAAAGAAAGTCGACGTCATGAACGCACTGACTTTGCATAACGTAATGTGTCTGGAAGAGACTCCCGGTGGAAAAGAACATATTTGATCTACTTTATGACCGGAACAAGTATAACCCATATGATGACCCATTCATGTAATGTGTAAGGAGCCGAACCTGTCAACTGTATCACGCCCAAACCACACCAAACCTAACTCCTCCCAAACGTTATAGAATGGAACCTGTCTAAACCGGCACCCCACGTGTTAATTACAGTTAAACATTATAAGATTGTTCACTTAGGTCACGAGGGTGGAGGACATGAGTTGATGTACATCTTTAGCTCGATGTTTGTTTATGTGGATAGTGACCCAGCAATGACATTATAAGCCCTGGTCACGAGGGGCATGGGTTAAACAAACATCGCCCTTAGGCCCCGAGGGACAGAGAACAACGTACTTATCTTACCGATTTTGAATTGTTTGAAGCACGGGTACAAATCCTTTTGTAACCATCGCTAGATTTTGCCGTTAAGAAAAACAAATTAAGAGTTATCTCTCTTCCATCAATTTGCATTCGCAAAACATCGGTAATTTCCGTACATCATACGTGATTCAATGTAATTCGAGATAAAGAATTACTAACACGAAGTACTAAATGAGTTGCCATTGACAGCGGGGTACGTTGAAATGTTACTCGCTTGTGAGCGGGGTACATTGCAAATAATAGAAGAGCGCTCAGCCAATCAGAAAGCGACATTTATGTGTGAGGTAAGATAACAGACATTGCTGGTAAAACAAACCAGAATCACGTTACATGACATGGAGGTTTTTGACTGGTTTCATTGCTGATCTTCAGTGGTTTCCATTTCCATGATTATCGCTGATATTTTGTCCTTTACACCAAATGGATTCTGAATTTTAGATAAGTGTCTATGTACAATTGCTTTTAAACTTTAGAGCACAACAAATACATGTACTTTTTCCTTTGGCAACAACGAAGTTCCGATCATATTCTCAAAACAGTTACACCCGTGAAGATCCAGGTTAGAACTGATCTTCAGTAACCCATGCTTGTCGTAAGAGGCCACTAACGGGATCAAGTGGTCAGGCTCGCTGACTTGGTTGACACTTGAGATATTGTATCTCAATTGCGTAGATCGATGCTCATGCGGTTGATCACTGGATTGTCTGGTCCAGACTCCATTATTTACAGACCGCTGTCATATAGGTAGAATATTGCTGAGTGCGCCGTAAAACTAAACTCACTCACTCACTCATCCATGTTAGGCGGTTGAAACCTACACCTTCATTGAATACACAATGCTATTTAGAAAGTGGTCAATTGTAACACATGTTACCTACACCTGCATGTGTCGTCATTCACTTGATGCACTGTTAATGAAATGATTACAGGCGTAATACTAGTAACACAGCTAATTAACCGTAGTTGGGATAATTACGGAATCTTCCACCGACACCCCCTCCCCATCTTCTTCTCTCCCATGCCATCTACTCCATCTCCCCTCTCCTGTCTTTTTCTACCTATTTCCACACTTTCACTTCTAGTACTTATATCCTATATTTGCTCTAATATATCCCACTATAGTATGTAAATAAAGAAAATGTTGTATATTTCCGAGGATGTTACTTTCACATCCGTGGATAATATTTTCATCTGTATGTGACATGGATATATTTGAATTCACATAGAAGTAGTGTAACACCCCGCTTTATATATGTACTAATGTATCGCATGTATAACACCTGTCTTTAAGCTAATAAAAAAAATACAAAAATACGGAATCTTATGAATTCAGGTTGATGTGGCGAATGTATATGCACGTGGAAGCACAGCAAAAGAGGACACTTTAATTGAAGTCCAAAACACGTCTTTATACTATCAACAGCGCTTACGGTTGGCGCAGCATAGATCGCGACCCGGTCGAGAATTCTGGGATATCATCCGAGCATGTAAAAAAACAACCAGTCCAGGCGAATTGTCAGAGATCAGTACCCATATAATACCTGATGAGTTGTCAAATATCCTAATTATTATAAAAAAAATAACTATCATAGCCTCAAGTAGACTGACTGACTGAGTTTGGTTTTACGCCGCTTTCAGCAATATTCCAGCAACATCACGGCGGGGGACACCAGAAATGGGCTTCACACATTGTGCCCATGTGGGGATTCGAACCCGGGTCTTCGGCGTAACGAGCCAACGCTTTAACCATTAGGCTACCCCACCGCCCCGCCTCAAGTAGATGTGCTGAGTACATCTGTGTACAATCTTGATATGATTAACGTGTTGTACTGTATGTAGACTTCCCTGTAATGCAAGGATAGAAACCAGATACAATGGAGGTGACTCGCTGATTCGGTAGATCAATCGTCGGGGTTTCTCAGCGTCGATATTGACAGAAGATGCAGGAATTGCTTCTTGTTCAACATAATCTCCGTCGGTGGCGTCGGTGGTGACGGTGTTCTTGTTTGCAACGGGCTCGCCACTGGCCGAGTGTTTCAGAAGCGGACTTTCACTGTTGATTTGAAGAAATGTGCCGGTGTCGATGGTGAGGTGTTGGGTGGATATTTGTGGAAAACTCTTTTATGTGTTTCCATATTGACACACTTTATCAATAACAACTTCTTCTATTACCGTGAGTGCGACGTTTCGATACACATTGTTGTACCGTTGGGAAGCAGGGTGACCAGTTTCAATTGTTTTCGGGAACAAATTAATTTTTCCGATACATCAACGCCTCAATCAATTGCCTGCATCTATTCCAATCAAAAACCCATAACTGCCCCTGTAAAACACCCATACCCGCCCCATCACGACTTATACCCACCCTGCACCCGTGAAGATCCGGTTAGAATATTGATGTTCAGTAACGGGATCGGGTGGTCAGGCTCGCTGAATTGGTTGACACATGTCATCGGCTCCCAAATGCGTAGTTCAATGCTCATGCTGTTGATCACTGGATTGTCCGGCCCAGACTCGATCATGTACAAACCGCCGCCATATAGCTGGAATATTGCTGAGTGCGGCGTAAAACTAAACTCACTCACTTGCTATATCCACCCTGATCAACACCCATACCCGCCCTATCAACACCTATGCCTACTGTGATCAAACGTCCATACCCACGCTGATCAAACAAAGATACCCGACTCTACCTGACGCATCCCCATCCCAGAATTTCATTTTAGAAATAATAAGAGTAACGAGTGATGAAAGTCCCAAATGCAACTTCGTCTTATGTTATCAACCATGAGTAGGTTCAGTTTGCTGTATATCACCAAGCGAGCTCACAGAATAGTTATTGTATACATGAATGTCATCGCGTACTTTACGCTGTCTCACAGGTCTATGTTATCCCATTACAGTGCTAATCAACTCGGCAGTATGAACTTCCTTTCCGATTATAAGGTAATATCTAAATATCTGCCTTATATGTGACTCACCTGGTCATAAACTCACATCAGTACGTTCATGAATACTGGCACTAATAGTAGAATCATCAATTAATTCAATGTGGAACTTCCTTGGTCCTAAACAAATTACCTTTGTTGTTCCTTTTGTCTTGGGTCCCCTGTCTCTCACATACGTACTAAGGCCATATAGGTAAATGTATGGCGTATTAAACACTATAGTCTGTTTCTGGCAATTGTGTATCAGTATCCAGTAGAAATACCAACGCAGATTTCTTTTCGTCACCATTCTGCCATTTAAGTCCTCTGGAATCTGTTTGAACAGACATTGAAGATTAATTACTCTCTGAAGTTGACCCTTTGCAAGTTAGAGCACTGACAGTATGAAATGCAGGTTCAGTTGTGGGTTGCGGAAAGCTATTCTCCACGACTAATAATATATTTCTTCTTTGTTTGAAACCTTATAGCGAAAATGTTACAATTTTATTCTCGTTGTCATTAGTCCAAACTACCCACAATTATCAAAATAAGAAAGTGAATATTTAGTTAGTTTCGAGATGGAGTGAATGAGTGTACAGTATATTTTGTTGTATTTCTGAATTGACAAACGACTGAATTACAGCAGGGAAAACGAACCACGAAACTGTGATAATCAGTCATGTAGTAAATCGTTAGCACCCAAATCTCATTTTATTCAGTTTGACTAGTAGAATTCCTTGCTTTTGACTTTTCTGCCATTAAATGCGGCTTAGTTGCAACCTCGCTTGCCGATTGAGCTAGGCATGAAAAGAAAGCGACAAACCATTATAATAGTCATACGAAATCTCCTCTAAATAGACAACGCCAACGTTCAAGAACCAGTGTCAACTAAACGCAAACTAGCGGTGAACATTATATACATAAATGAGTGTTGACACAACCCGTGAAGATACAGGTTAGAATTGGTCTTCTACAACCCATGCTTGTCGTAAAAGCCGACTAACGGGATCGGGTGGTCAGGCTCGTTTTCTTGACACATCTCATCGTATCCCAATTGCGTAGATTGATGCTCATTCTGTTGATCACTGGATTGTCCGGTTAAGACTAGATTATTTACAGACCGCCGCCATATAGCCAGAATTAAGCTGAATTCGGCATTAAACAACAAACCAACCAACCTGTGTTGACACAAGGCGAAAAGCAATTAAATCCATCGTACGTTTCCCATTATGACACAAGGAATACGAATACATAATTTGTTTTTTATAGGAATGAGTGAAGTCAGCTGTAATTCCTAATATTAACTTCTACAATATGTTCCCTTGATTTTAGGTTAACAATTCACCTGCCTTTGTGTGTGTTTGTGACAGTTCAACCGATAGGGTAGGAGAAGCTCCCCTTTTCATTAACACCTGATATTATCATAAAACCTATAGTGAGGTGAGGTGAGGTGAGGTGAGGTGAGGTGAGGTGAGGTGAAATTGGGTTTTACGTCGTGCTTGAGAATATTTCGCTCATATGACGACGTGCATGCATGTGAATGTGTATGTGCGGCTACTTGTGATAGCCCAGACTTAAGCTGGTTTTATAGTGCTAGCCCACTGAGATACCATGCCGCAGTGAAGCATGAATACCCCACTCAGACACATTATACTGACTCTGAGCCGACCAGTCCTTGTTGTACCCATTAATACCGAGCGCCAGGCAGGGACCAACAAGTACCATATTTTAACGTCTTTTGGTATGACGCGGTCAGGGATGGAACCCGCGACCTTCCGCTCTCCGGGCGGACGCTCTAACCACAACACCACGGAGGCGGTCAAACCCATAGTGTAGCCAAGTAACGACAAAGTATACCAGTATACGAAAAGAGCATATCTAAAAATACGTCGACAATGTAGCACCGTTACCCGATTTTCCTAATAATTTCAGTGTAAAGCTAGAATTGTGTATTGGTGACCTAAACTATCATATTGTTGTGTGATCTTGTTTGAAATACTTTCATACAGAGATATTGATCACCGGGTGTACAATCCCGTTGGAAGAAAATGGTGTTCGCCTTTACTCACAGCATTTCGAACCAGATATTTTTATAGTTACAG